TAAACTGCTATTCAGGTCAATTTTAGCTCGTTTTTTTAAAAAAAGAAAGCATGTTTTACCCAAGTTGTGGGTTGTAATTGGATGAGTTAGCGTTCTTCGGTGTGGATGGGCCAATTCAAGGAAAATGGCGAAAATGATTTTTAACTGTAGACCTGGTGTCGCCCAGACAGCTTCCCAAATTGTTTGCGGGAGAGAAAGCCACCTCCTGATTTCCTGTGACAACACAGTGCGGGTTATTGCACTGGTGCTGTTGCTAAGGGCGGGGTGCAACATTTGTCTTCTGACCGGTTGCCAGGGCACAGTAACAGAATGGGAAGGCGAACCGGCCCAAAGGGCCACGCGCTGTAGGTGAGAGGTGAGGCGCCCGCAGGAGGGGCCGCAGGCAGGGCCAGGCTTCATCCCTGTGCAAATGGCTGCATGTCTAGAGTCAGACCTCAGAGGGTAACGTTAGCCATCAACGGCTTCACAATAACTGTGCTGATGTGTTAAGATAGAGTAAAAGGCAGGCAAAGTGGATGCAAAGAGGGAGCATTTCCGTGGAGGACTGGGCTCTACAGATATCATCAAATGGACATTCTAGAAGGACAAATAAGTATTCTGATATACGGGCATTTCAGATGACAGTAACAGTAGATGGAATACACAGAACCATAACATTGATACATTTAAAGACAGATCAATAGATTCAACCAAAATGAATCACAGAGAGAAAAAAATCATGATTAAAAACAAAACAAAGGGTAAGACATACAGGACAGGACCAATCTCAACACAGTGTCGTCAGAGTTCTGGAAAAAGGCGAGAGGACGGGGAGAGGGGCAAAATTTGAAGAAATAATAGCCAAATATTTACTACATTTTATGAAAAAATAGCAACCCACAGATTCAGGAAAATAAATCCAAATAGGATGAATAATTTTTAAAAATCCAACTTGAGCTCATCACTTCTGACTATATAAGTGAATCTGTAAACTATTATCATTAATAAAGTACCTTAGGAAATTCACTAATATGTGGGAATTAAACAACACCCTTCTAAATAACCAGTAGTTGAAAGAGAAAATCACAAGGAAAGTTGAATAGACTTCTTGATGAATGAAAATAAGACACAACAGACCAAAATATATGGGATGCAGCAAGAACAGCGCTGAAAGGCCAATTTATAGCTAGAAACCCCACTACGGAAAAGAAGACCTCAGAGCAACAACCACCTTCAGAACCTGGAAAAGAGCACACGCAACCCAAAGCAGGAGAAGGACAGAGCAAGGATTAGAGCAGAAATAAGCGGTGCCAGCAAGGTTGCAAGCTACCGTGTCAATATGGGAAAACCAATGCTATTTCCACCTTCGAGCACCAAACAAGTGGACAGCGAGATGAAAACGTATCACTTAGAATAATATAAAATATAAAAAAAGCATAAACCTAACTAAAGATGTAGTCAGTGGAGAAGAGCTCGTCATTGGAGATCTTATAACACTGCAGAGAGAAACTAAAGATGACAGGTAAATGGAGAGATGTTCCATAGTCGTGGGTTTGGATATTCGGTGCTGTTACGATGTTGGTTCTCACCCGGCTGGTGTGGCTCAGTGGTTGAGCGTCAACTTATAAACCAGGAGGTCACAGTTCGATTCCTGGTCAGGGCACATGCCGGGTTGCAGGCTCAATCCCCTGTGTGGGTTGTAGCCAAGCAATGATTCTCTCATCATTGATGTTTCTGTCTCTCTCTCTCCCTCTCACTTCCTCTCCGAAATCAATAAAAAATATATATTTTTTAAAAAGATATCAGTTCCCCTCAAAGTGATCTATAAATAATGCAGTCCCAGTTGGAATTCCCAATAGGTTTGCTTTTCTCCTCTCCCCTTTCTCAGTGACAATTGACAAGCTGATTCTAAAATTTACACGGAAATACAAAGGATCCAGAACACGGTCATACTTTAGGACTTATTTTAACAAAGCTGGCGTGATATTGGTGTAAAGACAGACAAATGGACCAATGGAAAGGGACAGATAGTCCCAAAATAGACCTTCCTCCCATACGTAATCATTGCAAATCTGTGGAGAAAGGATGGGATTCTCAGTAAACTGGTTCTGGAGCAATTAATCCAGTGGTTCTCAACCTTCCTAATGCCGCGACCCTTTAATACAGTTCCTCATGTTGTGGTGACCCCCAATTTCATTGTTACAATTTGAACATAATTAAAGCATAGTGATTAATCACAAAAACAATATGTAATTATATATGTGTTTTCTGATGGTCTTAGGTGACCCCTGTGAAAGGGTCGTTCGACACCCAAAGGGGTCGCGACCCACAGGTCGAGAACCGCTGAATTAATCGAACAAGTGCACGGAAAATTGTGCCTGGACTTGTGCCTGTCAGCACATATAGAAATTAATTCAAACTGGATAAATGCCACGAATTCAAAATTCCTAAACTTTAATGTGAAAATGAAAACAGTGACACTTCTAGCAGAAAACAGAAAAGTATTTTCATAATTCTTGTGGTAGGTTTCTTAAACACGTGCAAAAAACCCCAAAACCCAACAAAAACAAAACAAACAAAAAAACCCCTATAACTATTAAGAAAAATATTGAAAAATTAGATTTTACTAAAGCTAAAAACTTTTATCATTAAAAAAAATTAAGAAACTGACTGGGAAGCTGCAGATTGGGAGAACATACATTCTCAATCTATCTACGGGACAGATACACACAGACTATATCAAGAAATCCTACAAATCAATACTAAAAAAATCCAATCTTTAAATGGGGGAAAATTGAATCATTAGTACAGACAGGCAAATTAAAACGTTGGTGATGTAGTCACCATACACCTATAAGAATGGGCACGTTAAAAAAAACTGAGAAGGCAGAGTGATGGCAAGGATGCAGACCAACTGGAACGCTTACGCCGCTGGTGGGCATATAAACTGGTTTACATTTGGAAAACTGGCAGGCAGACTCTACGACAATGAAACATATTCTTATCCCACAACCCAGCCATTGCGTTGCGTAGGTATATTCTCAAGAGAAATGAATGTTCATGTCCACCAAGACCCATGTGCAGTAATGTTAACAGGACCTTTATTTATACTGGCCCCAAACTGGGAACAGCTCAAGTGTCCATCAGTAGGAGAATTAACAAATCAACTGTGGGTTTAGCTCAGTAAAATAGAGCGTCGGCCTGCGGACTGAAGGGTCCCAGGTTTGATTCCGGTCAAGGGCGTGTACCTTGGTTGCGGGCACATCTCCAGTAGGGGGTGTGCATGAGGCAGCTGATTGATGTTTCTCTCTCATTGATGTTTCTAGCTCTCTGCCCCTCTCCCTTCCTCTCTGTAAAAAAAAATATATATATACATCAATAAAATATATTTTTAAAAAAATCAACTGTGGCAAAAGGAAACTGTGGCATAATGGATACATGCGACAACATGGATGAGTCTTAAAATCGTGATGTTGAGTGAAAGGAACCGGACATGAAGTAGTACAGACTGTAGTGCAGTTTGTTGCAGACCAAGAAGACACCAAAGTAGCCTGTGGTGATTGAAGCCAGAGTAGTGTCTGCCTCTATGGCAGCGGTTCTCAACTTGTGGGTCGCAACCCCTTTGGGGGTCGAACGACCCTTTCACAGGGGTTGTCTAAGACCATCAGAAAAACACATATATAATTACATATTGTTTTTGTGATTAATCACTATGCTTTAATTATGTTCAATTTGTCACAATGAAATTGGGGGTCACCACAACATGAAGAACTGTATTAAAAGGTCGCGGCATTAGGAAGGTTGAGAACCACTGCTCTAGAGGCAGGAATTGATTGGGATCCACCACAAGGACCATTTCACACCACGGAAATGTTCCCCGTGGTGATTGATCTGAGAGGTGAATGTACAGGTGTACAGGTAGGTAAAATCACCCAGCTTTACATTAAGATGTGTGTGCTTTAAAAAGAAGGAATCCGTTACTATGGGAAGGACAAGAACGCCTCACCTCTGGAGCCAGACCTGCCTGTTTGGGAGCTGAGATAAGCTGCTTTCTTGCTGTGTGACCTCAAGAAGTCAGATAACCTTTCCATGCCTTATTCCCCTTTGCTCATAGTAACAGTGTCTGGTCTACAACGTTGTGATGCAAATTAAGTGAGTTAGTGGCTATAGAGTTCAAAGCCTGGTGCCGGGTACCTACTCTGGCCTGATGGGTACTCGTCCTTGTCACCAGGTGATGGCCAACTCCCCTCAAGCTGTGAGGTCTCAGATACTTCAGCAGCTCACGTTGCCCCATTTTGCAGCAAGAATCATTGGCTAGAGCTGTGACAATACGATGTTTTTAAGTTATTCTAGAACTTCTACTAGGAAATACTCTGTTTACTGTTCACTATTACCCTGTAGACCCTGATGAACTTCCATTTGGGCAGTTGTCAATGTTTTATAAAAAAATAAATACATTCTTTCCTTGCCGGTTTGGCTCAGTGGTTGGAGCGTCGGCCCATGGACCTGAAGGGTCCCAGGCTCATTCAGGTCAAGGGCACATACCTTGGTTGCAGGCTCGACCCCTGGACACATGCGGGAGGCAACCAATTGATGTGTCTCTCTCACATTGATATTTCTCTCTCTGTCTCTCCTCCTCCCTTCCAGTCTGTCTAAAAATCAATGGGAAAAAATCCTCGGGTGAGGATTAACAAAAATTAGATAATTTCCACCATGTTCACAAATGCAAAATCTTCCATCGGCCCCAAAGTGATAAATCAGTAGATTTCATAGTTGGTCAACCAGGCAGGTGGTGGGTTCTCCTTTGTGCTAGTAACTTGGGAGGGAGCAGACTGCCCTTTAGTAACCTCAGTGGCTTCCTGTTGTCTGCAGTAACAGTTGCATTGGCAATGTTATCACAGCTATGATTGCATCATCCCTATTTTAGACCATTCTCTCTCTAGTATAAAACAGAAACCGAATCTCAGTTTGTGGCTTGGGCTTTTTCACGTGTCTGCAGCGGTGAACACTGGAGTTCTGCTTTAAGAGGGGGCTTCTTCCCTTATTAATCCCCAAATAAATAGGTTCCCCGGCGATGGCCTCTTTGCAGAAGGAGAACTCCTGGGGGCTGTCTACACCCAAGCCTGCGGGTAAGTCACCAGCAAAATGCTCTTGAGTAAAAAAAATATTTTGTGATGTGAATATATGGAATTAATAGAACTAGTGGCAGGTCAAAGAACTGAAGTCATGTCTCTTGTTCAGGCAGCAAACAATTATTTGGATTTGAACTCTGATGTAGAGTGTCTGTGACAGCAGTCAGTCAACTATATGGGAGGGCACTCAGGACCAGGCACCTGCAAGATATCGGTGGTCGGTGAGCACGCACCTGGGCGTCTCCAGCCTCTGGGCCCAGGCACCAGTGAGAATCCCAGCGCATCTGTAAATTCGGATGGGCCAAAGTCAGATGCCATAATATTGTTCCAATTTTATTGAGATATAATTGATATATAACATTCTGTTAGTCCAAGGTGTACAACAGCATGACCTGAAATATTGTGAAATGGTCACCACAATGCGTTTAATTAACGTCCATCGCCTCACATAGTTACAATTATTTTCTTGTGATAAGAGCTTTAAGATGAACCTCTTGGTAACTGTCCAATACACAATGCAGTATTGGTAGCTGTAGTCACTGCCATGTACATTACATCCCTGGATTTATTTATCTTGTAACTAGAAGTTTTCACTTTGTAACCACCGTATTGATGTCTTACTATTTAATACTGAAATACTGTCGCTCTGAGGCTGGTGATCGAGGAGTTCCTTTGTACATGTATCTGCCCATTTTCCCTTGCAGGGCGTCCCACACAACAGTCGATCGTAGAAAGCAAAATAAAGAAAGCCACTGGAGTGAAGGTGAGCAGTGAAACAGTGCCGGGGTGAGGGGGCGGCATTAAGGGGAGCGTCATGGGCTCAGGATGTGGAAATGTCGGGTGCAGACAAGCCTCCTTTTGTTTCTTCTCGGCTCCCACACCCCATAACCACCCCATCTCCTTCAATTGTCACAGTGGTGGTCCTTTTATTACCATTTTACTGGTGAAGACCGAGGCTTTGAGAGTCTAGGAACAGGCCCAGCATCACAGATGGCTGGTGATGGGGCTGGCATCCCACCACTGCTGTCGGCCTGCAGATGCCTGTGGTTCTCTGTCTCTCTCCGTCTCTGCCTCTCTCTCTTCCAGTAAAGAGAAAGAGTCTTCCCTTTATCAAGTGGGTGGTGGACAAAGCACAGTCACAAACACTCCTTTAGTCCTAGGTGCTGTCTGGTCCTATGTCCCCCCGTCATCCCCAAAGTGCCTCCCCTTAGTACGTCCTCACTCCCCACACTCCGCATGATGTCTGTGCTCTGCCAGAGTTTTGATCCGAGGTCACCTCATCCAGAGGGGCCTCAGTGAGGGCTGTCCTGTGACCGCTAAGGAATTATTTTTAATTTTGAAACTATAACATTAAAATTGTAGTTTCCCGTTTAGTTGTGAGATCCCGTGGACCCTTTCCCCACTTTCCCCACTTTCCCCACGGGTGGCGTCTTGCACGACTCTAGGTCAGCATCACATCCAGGATGTGGACACTGGCACGGTCCAGGGACAGAGCATCCCCTCCCCACAGGGTTCCTTCCTGCTGCCCTCTTAGAGCCACACCCTCTCTTCCCACCCACCCCACCTGAACCCTACCAGCCCCTGCTCCTGTCTCCATCCTATAAATTTGTCATTTCAAGAATGCTGCATACATGGGCTTGCACTATATATAATCTCTTGAAATAGGCTTTTCCCAGAATTTTCTGGAGACCCACCCAGGTTGCTGCGTGTATCAGTAGTTCATTCCTTCTTATGGCTGAGTCGGGTTCCATGGTGCGGAGGGAGCACATTTGTTTAACTGGTCACCCACGGAGGGTCATCTGGCTTGTTGGCAAGTTTGAGCTGAGTCAAGCAGCTGCAAACACTTGTGCACCGATTTTGGTGTGAATGTAACTGTATAGTCCTCAGAGATAAATGTCCAGGAGGGCCATTGCTGGGGCCAACGGGAGTTGCAGGTTCAGTTTTTCAGGAAACTGGTAGACTGTTTACCAGCTGGCTGTACCAGCAGCAAACTCGTCTCCAGTTTACCTACACCCTCCAATGCGGTGTGTTGCACTATTTTTTTATTTCAGCCGTTCTGAAAGGCATGGAGTGCCACCTGATTTCATTTTGATTTGCATATCCCTAATGTTTAGTGATGTGGAACTTCTGTTCATGTGCTTATTTGCATTCTTCTTTAAGGAAATGTCTGCTTATGTCTTTTGCCCATTTTATGTATTAAAATTTTTAATACATTTGTTATTGATTTGAGAGAGAGAGAGAGAGAGAGAAACATCAATGATGAGAGAGAATCATTGATCGGCTGCCTCCTGCACGTCCCACACTGGGGATCAAGCCTGAAACCTGGGCATGTGCCCTGACCGGGAATCAAACCGTAGCCTCCTGGTTCATAGGTCTATGCTCAACCACTGAACTATACTGGCCGGGCTCTTTTGTCCATTTTCTAATTGGATTGTTTGATTTTTTTTTTCACTGTTGAGTTTTCACAGCTCTTTATACCTGCTAGGTTTTTTTGTTGGGTATGAGGTTTACAATCTTTTCTACCAGACTAGCTTGTCTTTTCATCTTTCTAACGAAGTTTTTCATTTTGACACAGTCTAACTTATTATTTTTTTATTTTATGGATCATACTTTCAGTGTTTAAGAACCCTTTGCCTGGCCCTAGATCCCAAAGATCTTTTCCTTCTATTTTTTTTTTCTAAAAAAATTGTTTTACATTTGAATCAATGACCCATTTTGATTAATTTTTGCATCAGGCATGAGACTTAGGCCCAGCTTTTTTTTTTTTTTCTGTCTATGGATGTCCAATTGCTCCAGCAACATTTAATGAAAAAGTTATCTTTTCTTCATTGAAGTGTTTTGTACCTATGTAAAAAATCATATTTTGGGGTATATTTGTGTGGGAATAATTCCAGATTTTTCATTCTGTTTCATTGATCTTTGTGTCTATCTCTTTGCTAGTCTCACACAGTCTTGATTACTGTGACTATAATTAGTCTTAAAATCAGGTCATTCAATTTCCCCTACTTCATTCTTTCCTAAAATTTCTTTAATATTCTAATTCATTTGACTTCCCAAAAATTTTAGATCACTCTTATTTATTTCCACAAAAGATCTTGCTGGGATTTTAATTGGAATTACATCAAAACTGTGTATCAATTGGGGGATAATTGACATTTTTACTATGTTAAGTCTTCCAGTCCATGAACAAAACATGTCTCTCCATTGTTAAAGAGCTTTGATTTCTTTCATCAATATTTCAAGCTATTAGAATACAAGTCCTGTACATGTTTTTCGTAGGTTTACACCTAAGCATTTACTTTTGTTTGAGCAATTATAAATGATATAGATGTGTTTTTTTTAAATTTCAGTGTCCATTCTAGAATATAGAAATAAAATTTTTTTTGTATGTTTATCTTATATCCTGCAACTTGCTGAACTCACTTACTGTTCTAGGAATGGTTTTGTTGGTTCCTTGGAATTTCCTATGAGGACCGACAATGATGTCATTTGTAAAATGAGATAGTTTTACTTTTTTCTTTCCAGTCTGTGTGCCTTTAATTTCTCTTTGCCTTACCACACTGGCTAGAATTTCAGCACTGTGTTCCAGAAGAGTGACAAAATCAAATATCCTGTATTACTCTTGATCCTAAGGGAAAAACACTCAATCCTTAACCATTTATTACAATGTTAGCTGTAGGTTTCTTGTAGATGTTCTTATCAGGATGAGGAAGTTGCCCTTTATTTCTATTTTTCTGATAGGTTTTTTCTTTTTTTAATCATGAATAGATGTTGAATTTTGCCAAGTGCTTTTTCTGTTAATCTGGTATGTTACATTAACCTACTTTCAAATATTAAATCAGTCCTGCATGCCAGGAATAAACCTCATTTGGACATAGTGCATATGTTTTAAAATATATTATGGAATTCTATTTGCTAATAATTTGTTAAGGATTTTTGCATCTACATTATGAGGGATATTGGTCTATAGTTTCCTTTTTTTATACTCTCTCTGACTGGTATCAGGGTAATACTAGCCAAATAAAATGGATTGGGAAATATTCCTAAACTGTATGGGCCTGGAAAGTTCCTTATTGGGAATTTTAAAATTATGAACGCAATTTCCTTAAAGTTATAGTACTACTCATATAACCTATTTTTTTAATATATTTTTTATTGATTAAGATATTACATATGTGTCCTTGTCCCCACGTTACCCTCTACCCCCCACCCCCCCCACCCCCGCTCATGCCCTCACCCCCCCGTTGTCCATGTCCATTGGTTAGGCCTATATGCTTGCATATAAGTCCTTTGGTTGATCTTTCCCCCTTACCCCCACCCTCCCCTACCTTCCCTCCAAGTCCCGACAGTCCAATCAATGCCTCTCCGTCTCTGGATCAGTCCTTGTTCATCAGCTTATGTTGTTCATTATATTCCACAAATGAGTGAGATCCTGTGGTATTTATCCGCTCTCAAGTTCCATCCATGCTGTGGCAAATGGTAAGAGTTCCTTTTTCTTCTTCCTCTTCTTAAAGAATACCTTTCAGCATTTCATATAATGCTGGTTTGGTGGTGATGAACTCCTTTAGCTTTTTCTTATCCGTGAAGCTCTTTATCTGACCTTCTATTCTGAATGATAGCTTTGCTGGATAAAGTAATCTTGGTTGCAGGTTCTTGCTATTCATCACTTTGAATATTTCTTGCCAGTCTCTTCTGGCCTGCATGGTTTCTGTTGAGAAATCAGCTGACAGTCGTATGGGTACTCCCTTGTAGGTAACTGACTGTCTTTCTCTTGCTGCTTTTAAGATTCTCTCTTTATCTTTTGCTCTTGGCATTTTAATTATGATGTGTCTTGGTGTGGTCCTCCTTGGATTCCTTTTGTTTGGGGTTCTCTGCGCTTCCTGGACTTGTAAGTCCATTTCTTTCACCAGGTAGGGGAAGTTTTCTGTCATTATTTCTTCAAAAAGGTTTTCAATATCTTGCCCTCTCTCTCCTTCTGGTACCCCTATAATTCTGATGTTGGTACGCTTGAAGTTGTCCCAGAGATTCCTTACACTATCTTCATATTTTTGGAATCTCTTTTCTTTTTTCTTTTTCGGTTGGGTATTTTTTGTTTCTTTGTATTTCAAATCTTTGACTTGATTCTTGGGATCCTCTTTTCTGCTGCTGGATCTCTGTAAATTATTCTTTATTTCAGTCAGTGTATGCTTAATTTCTAGTTGGTCCTTTTTCATGTCCTCCATGGTCTCCCTATACTTATTGAGGGATTCATTAAATTTATCGGCGGTTTCCATAAAATTCTTGAAAAACCTTATAACCGTGGCCTTAAACTCTATATCCAATCGTTTGCTTTCCTCCATTTCTGCCATTTGTGACCTGTTTCTTTGTCTCCGCATTTTGGCAGCTTCCCTGTGTTGATAGAGTGGCCCTGTGCGCCAGGTGTCCTGTAGGGCCCAGTAGCTCAGCCTCCCCAGTTACCTGGGGTGGACACTCTTGGTGCACTCGTGGTGCCTTGGTTGTTGTAGAATCACTGGGAGGAATTGACCTCCAGGCCAATTGGCTGTGAGAATCAGCTGTGTCTAAAGTGGGAGAACTTCTGTGCTGAAGACACCCTTCTGGGGCAAGACTTGCTTCAGTGGGGCTTTGGTGCTCACTGAGTCTGCTCCCTGAGTGCGTCCCTTATGGATCTGAGGAGTTGCAGTCTGGATGGACCCCCTCTGACCACTGGGTACAGTGGCTCCTGGATCTAAGGAGGTGCTAATTCAGCCTCTGCCTGAGGCCACA